CGTATACAAACTGTACCAATTTTACTAGGTCAATGCAGGGTTTTTTTTTATTATTATTATTATTATTATTATTTAGATGCTGGTATGAATACCAGCACTAAATGATCTATTTGAGCATTGGCTGCCGAGACCATCAGCTCTGAATTGACTATTGTTTAAGGTTGTGTTTATTAGATTGTCATTTCTATGTCTTTGATAAATTTGGCGATTTTTTCAATATTAGCAAAGCTAGGGGTAGCTAGGACGTCGTTTATATTCTCTGTGTTAAATATTGCTTTTTTTGTGTCGTAGTATTTTTGGCAATTGTTGAGGATGTGGTCTAATGTTTGGATTGTGTTACAGGTGATGCAGATTGGTTGATTTTCCTTTTTCAAGATATATTCGTGGGTTTGTGTGGTGTGCCCGAGACGCAATCGTGAAAAGATTCTGGTTTTGAAACCATGTATATTTGTTGGGTATTGTGGAGGAGTACCATCTTTGTTAATGTTAGTATAGTGATAATGTTTGTGGCTGCTACGCAGTTGGCGTGTTTCGTGTATTATAAGCGTTTTGATATGGCGTTTTATGTCAAGCTTTTCGATTTTTGGGGTGCGTATTATTGGTGCATTGCAAGCAAATTTTGCAGCTTCATCGGCGTAGGTGTTACCGTCAATTTCTGCGTGTCCTGGAACCCATAGGAGCTTAAGCGTTTTCTTGTTCTTTATTAACATATCTCTTATTTGATTAATTGTTTCCCAATTGTTACAGATTGGATTTCTAACTGCTTGTAACACCGAAAGACTGTCTGAACATATCACAGTTTTTGTTTTTTTGTGAAGGGAAAATACTATAGCTTCGTGTATAGCTGCTGCTTCTGCCGAGAAGACTGAAGAGAAAGGGAACATTGATTTCATGCTAATGCAGGAGCCTGTTTCCGATGTTATACTGAAAGCAACGCTATTTTGTGTTTTAGACCCATCAGTAAAGATAATTTGCCAGCCGCTCTTATTGTAAGTGTTCGACTTTTCGAGGAAGATTTGCTTGAATATTGAATTTGGGGTGTTATCTTTTTTGTGGGTGTGTAGTGTAATATCGCAACATTGGCTGTCAAGAGTCCACGGTGGGTTGTAACTTCGTAGTCTATGTGGTTTTACTTCCAAGTTGTACTTGTTGCATAGTTTGATAATTCGGAGCAGTGAAGGAGTAACGTTGAATGTTCGTTTGGATAGTACCAGTTTTTTTACGTCTTCGGATATTATAGATGTATTTAAAAATAAAACTTTTGGTATTAAGCTAGAGTTGACATTCTGTATATGTTCCTCTAGTGTGGGCAAGCCAGATTCAATGAAGAGGTTATTTGTCGTGGTGGTGCGAAAAGCGAATAGGCTGGTTCTGATCGCCTTGTGGTACATTGGCTTTATAATGTTTAGAGTTGTTTTCGGAGCGGATCCGTATAAGCAAAGTCCGTAATCGATTTTGCCCAGGATTATAGTTTTTGTGATGTGTATGAGTGTGTTTATGTGGACATATCCTTTATATGACAAATACGATATTAAACTAAGTCTGGAGAGTAGATCCCTCTTTAGTTTTAAAAGATGCCGTTTCCATGTGTAGTTTTTTGTGAATATTAAACCTAGTATTCGCAGTTCATCCACATTCTCGATAGTTTGTTGCTTCAATTCTATTGAGTGACTATTGGAATCGCACTTTAGTTTTTTACAAATATGAAGTTTTTTTGTTTTTTCGAGGGAAATTTTCGCACCTGATCTTAAGGTCCAGTCATCAATTTCTTTCAGAATATTTCTTAAAATTTTATTTGACTCGCTATTGTTCTTTTCGTTGCACAGTATAAATAAATCGTCGGCATAGATACAGTGGTTAACAAGCTTGTGTTTCTGTATTATAGTGCTTAT